ATGTTGTACACACACCGCACCAGGTATTCGTTTGAGGCTGAGTCGACCTAGGGGATGCCCAGGACGGGTTCAGATAATCGCCACTGGTGTAGGTGGCCGTGAGCGGGAATCGAACTTGGGTTGCCGGGTTCGAAGTGCAGCGAGCTAACCGCGACACCAGGCTGAACACACACACACGCAAACACACACACAGACACACACACAGACACACACACAAACACAGACACAAACACAGACACAAACACACATACAAAGACACACACACACAACACACACAGAGACACACACAGATATACACACACAAACACATACACACACACACAAGCACACACAAAGAAAAAAACACACACAAACACACACAGACACACACACAAACACAGACACACAAACAAAGACACACACGCAAACACACACACAAATACAGACACACACAAATACAGACACACACACAAATACAGACACACACACAAACACACACACAGACAGACACACACACACAAACACACACACAGACAAACACACAGACACACACACAAATACAGACACACACACAAATACAGACACAAACACACACACAGACAGACACACACACAGACACACACACAGACACACACAAACAAAGACACACACAAACAAAGACACACACACAGACACACACACAAACACAGACACACACAAACACAGACACACAAACACAGACACACACCGTGCCCTTTAGCCTTATTGTACGCAAAATGTCCTTGAATACAAATTCCGTTAATTTACACACGCACACATAGAAACACATTGCTGGCAGCTGCTTGGCAATACATTTTTTACGTAAAATAACGGAAGTCTGTTCAAGAGTTGCGTGTGTACGTTCACGAATACGCTACGGAAATATTTGCATGAAATATTCAGGCATTTCGGCGTAAAATTTCCCAAATATTTCCTGTCAGATTTCCGTAAATCTTACAGAAAACGATTGTATAGACGCCCATTATTTTGGCAAAAAAAAATGTACGGCTACGTAGCTGCCATATAAACTTTCTGTAATTACACGGGGATTTGTTTTTCTTTCTAACGGTGTACAGACCATTGGGACGAGGGCTTTTAGCGTAAAGGTGGTGAATGCGACTAGCACCATTCCCGGCCGCCTTTGTTTTTTTTTTAAATCTTCCCAGTGTTGATCTTCACACGCAACACCGATTACCCGTTCGAGGCCGAGTTCGACCTCTGAGCGCAGTCTTTCGGACAGGTTGACGGCAAGCCGCTGATGCACATAAAGCCGCGTTCGCCAACAACCGATCGTCCGCTCCACGTTTCAACCCGGATCCTCGGGTTTCGGCGAGTTTGACGGCCTCCGCCAAGTCGCAAGTGACTCGACAGCGGTTGTACAATGCACTACATGTTTCACTTCAACGATTGATTCCACGTGCGACGAACTGCTATCCTCCAACGGCATGTCAAATAATATCATCTGTGTCGCGGTTGCATTGCGATTTTTATTTTATTTTATTTATTGACGCGAGAAAGGGAGGGGGAGTTGTGAAAGAAAGTTCTCTGTAATTGGCGTCCTGCGACAGTGCAAATGTTTCGCGTTACGTGGCTTCGGGTCGCGAGACAAGCAGCAAGTATCGGCGCATGCCCTGCAATGTCACGGGGAAATTGCAATTACGGCTTTGTTCTAAAAGTGAGTTTTTTTAAAAGCGAGTTCTAAAAGTGAGTTCTCAAAAGTTATAAAAGTGAGTTCTAAAAGTGAGTTCTTAAAAGTGAGTTCTTGAAAGTGAGTTCTAAAAGTTATAAAAGTGAGTTCTAAAAGTGAGTTCTAAAATTTATAAAAGTGAGTTCTAAAAGTGAGTTCAAAAATTTATAAAAGTGAGTTCTAAAAGTGAGTTCTTAAAGTGAGTTCTTGAAAGTGAGTTCTAAAAGTTATAAAAGTGAGTTCTAAAAGTGAGTTCTAAAATTTATAAAAGTGAGTTCTAAAAGTGAGTTCAAAAATTTATAAAAGTGAGTTCTAAAAGTGAGTTCTTAAAAGTTATAAAAGTGAGTTCTAAAAGTGAGTTCTAAAATTTATAAAAGTGAATTCTAAAAGTGAGTTCTTAAAAGTTATAAAAGTGAGTTATAAAAGTGAGTTCTAAAATGTATAAAAGTGAGTTCTAAAAGTGAGTTCTTAAAAGTTATAAAAGTGAGTTTTAAAAGTGAGTTCAAAAATTTATAAAAGTGAGTTCTAAAATTTATAAAAGTGAGTTCTTAAAAGTACTAAAAGTGAGTTCTAAAAGTGAGTTCCAAAATTTATAAAAGTGAGTTCTAAAATTTATAAAAGTGAGTTTTAAAAGTGAGTTCTTAAAAGTTCTAAAAGTGAGTTCTAAAAGTGAGTTCTAAAATTTATAAAAGTGAGTTCTAAAATTTATAAAAGTGAGTTTTAAAAGTGAGTTCTAAAATTTATAAAAGTGAATTCTAAAAGTGAGTTCTAAAATTTATAAAAGTGAATTCTAAAAGTGAGTTCTTAAAAGTTATAAAAGTGAGTTATAAAAGTGAGTTCTAAAATGTATAAAAGTGAGTTCTAAAAGTGAGTTCTTAAAAGTTATAAAAGTGAGTTTTAAAAGTGAGTTCTAAAATTTATAAAAGTGAGTTCTAAAATTTATAAAAGTGAGTTCTAAAAGTGAGTTCTTAAAAGTTCTAAAAGTGAGTTCTAAAATTTATAAAAGTGAGTTCTAAAATGTATAAAAGTGAGTTTTAAAAGTGAGTTCTAAAATGTATAAAAGTGAGTTATAAAAGTGAGTTCTAAAATGTATAAAAGTGAGTTCTAAAAGTGAGTTCTAAAAGTGAGTTCTTAAAAGTTATACAAGTGAGTTCTAAAAGTGAGTTCTAAAATTTATAAAAGTGAGTTCTAAAATTTATAAAAGTGAGTTTTAAAAGTGAGTTCTAAAATGTATAAAAGTGAGTTCTAAAAGTGAGTTCTAAAATGTATAAAAGTGAGTTGTAAAAGTTATAAAAGTGAGTTATAAAAGTGAGTTGTAAAAGTTCTAAAAGTGAGTTGTAAAAGTTATAAAAGTGAGTTGTAAAAGTTCTAAAAGTGCGTTCTAAATGAGCTATGCGTCGTTGTCTTCCGTGCAGAGGGGGGGTGGGGGGCGCTGTCCTAAAATAACGTTACACAGTCGCGCATGGCTATATGCAGGATGTGTAATAACTTGTGGACATTCCCATCGTCTCGTGAGAACATGACGCTGAGAGCGCGATTGCAATTGAATTCGGAGAGAACGAACACGTGACAACGGCGCACAAACGGGCACAAACACACAAAGCCACCACACACACACACAAACACACACAAAGCCACCACCACACACACACAAAGCCATCACACAAACACACACACAAACACACACAAAGCCACCACACACACAAACACACACACAAACACACACAAAGCCACCACACAAACACACACAAAGCCACCACACACACACAAACACACAAACACACACACAAAGCCACCACACACACAAACACACAAACACACACACACACAAACACACACAAAGCCACCACACACACACACAAACACACACAAACCCACCACACACATACAAACACACACACAAACACACACAAACCCAACACACACACACACAAACCCACCACCACACACACACAAACACACACAAAACCACCACACACACACAAAGCCACCACACAAACACACACACAAACACATAAAGCCACCACACAAACACACACACAAACACATAAAGCCACCACACAAACACACACAAACACATAAAGCCACCACACAAACACACGCACAAATCCATCACACAAACACACACAAACACACACAAACACAAACAAAGCCACCACACAAATCCATCACACAAACACACACAAAGCCACCACACACACAAACACACAAATACACACACAAACACACAAACACACACACAAATTCACCACACACACAAACACACACAAAGCCACCACACAAACACACAAAGCCACCGCACAAACACAAACAAAGCCACCACACAAACACACACAAACACACACACACAAAGCCACCACACACAAACACACACAAACACACACAAAGCCACCACCACACACACACACAAAGCCACCACACGCAAACACACACAAAGCCACCACACACACAACACACAAAGCCATCACACAAACACACACACAAACACATAAAGCCACCACACAAACACACACAAACACATAAAGCCACCACACAAACACACACACAAATTCACCACACACACACACAAACACACACAAAGCCACCACACAAACACACAAACACACAAGCCACCACACAAACACACACAAAGCCATCACACAAACACACACACACAGACACATAAAGCCACCACACAAACACACACACAAATCCATCACACAAACACACACAAACACACACAAGCACACACAAAGCCACCACACAAATCCATCACACAAACACACACAAAGCCACCACACAAACACACACAAATCCATCACACAAACACACACAAACACACAAAGCCACCACACAAACACACACACACAAATCCATCACACAAACACACACAAAGCCACCACACAAACACACACAAACACACAAACACACACAAAGCTATCACACAAACACACACAAACACACAAAGCCACCACACAAATCCATCACACAACACACACACACAAAGCCACCACACAAACACACACAAAGCCACCACACAAACACACACACACAAACACCCCCCCCCCCCCCATAGCCCGTAATAGACTGTCGGGGCAAGTGTTGTTAGCGAGCACCTATGAAGGCCGGCACTGTGGCACACGAGGGGGGGGTGGCCAACACCACGCCCGACCGCCTTTGTCTCCCCAGTGGCGATGTTTACACACCGCACCAGGTACTAATTTGAGGCTGAGTCGACCTAGGGGAGGCCCCGGGACCGGTTCTGATAATCATCACCGGTGTTGGCCGTGACACACACACACAGACACACACACACGCAGAGCAAGAACCCCCACATTTGTCCACGCGTTGCAACGCGCGGATTAGTTTTGTCGCAGCCGTGTCCGTAATTACAGCCGTGCTCGGCTGGACCGGAGAATCGCCTCGATCGGCGATTGCTGCTACACCCGCCCAAACATCTCAGAATCGCGCTCCCTTCCCTACCGCCAGCCCGTGGCCATGCGAGCAGAGCGAGATTAGCAAGGACATTAAGCGAGGGCCTCGCCGGGAAAACACATTTCCCCTTTCGATTCCAATTTGGGGGCAAGAGGTGAGTGAATGTGTGGTATGTGTCTGTGTGTGTGTGAGAGAGTGTGAGAGAGAGTGTGTAAGAGAGAGAGAGTGTGAGGGAGAGTGTGAGAGAGAGTGTGAGGGAGAGCGTGAGAGTGAAAGAGTGTATGTAAGAGAGAGAGTGAGTGAGCGTGTGAGAGAGTGTGAGAGAGAGTGAGAGTGTGTGAGAGTGTGAGAGTATGTGAGTGTGTGTGAGTGAGAGTGTGTGAGAGGGTGTGTGAGAGAGAGAGTGTGTGTGAGTGAGTGAGAGTGTGTGAGTGAGAGTGTGTGAGTGTGTGTGAGAGAGTGTGAGAATGAGAGTGAGAGAGTGAGTGAGAGCGTGTGTGTGTGTGTGTGAGAGAGTGTGTGTGAGAGAGTGTGTGTGAGAGTGTGTGTGAGAGAGTGTGTGTGAGTGAGTGTGTGTGAGTGTGTGAGAGACTGTGAAAGAGAGCGAACGATGGATGGTGGGGGTTGGGGTTGTGGTGATGGGACGGAGTTTGCAACGGCGGGTAGAGGGATGGATGGAGTGTAAGTGGTTGTTACGTTACTGGGCGATGTTTATATTGTATTTCTTAAATTGGCCGCATGTTTTCGGTTGTATCGGCAGCTTTTATCCGCCATCAGCGAGGTGTTCCGAGGGCACGGCTGTTGTCGGGGCCCAGGGTGGGAGGGTGAATGAAAGGCAAGCCGTCAGGGAATTTGCCAATTTTCAGGACTTGATATGCCGGGTGGTTGGGTGCAGGTGGAGGGAGGGGAGAGGGAGCAGCGAACTCTTGAAGAGAAGGCGGCCAATTCGGCACAGCGGCGGGGACAAATAAAGGCAAAGATCCCCCAAGCGCAGTCTACAACGGACTGTCGGGGGCAAGTGCTGTGAGCGAGTAGCACCTGTGGCCAGCAACCACGCCCGGCCGCCTTTGTCTCCCCAGTTCCGATGTTTACTACACAACGCGCCAGGTACACGCAAGCCACGCGCACACAGACAACTCCCCACCCCCACGCCTCCAACGCTGCCCGAAGGGGGCTGGGATCGGCACGGGACAGAAATACTGGCGGGCGGCCAAAGTCGATCTTGCAAAGGCGATAGTTTGTTGCCCTCTGCTGGGTGCCGTGCGGTGCTGATGCGAGTCAGGAACAAGTGTGCAGGTAGTCCCCGACTTACGATATTTTCGACTTACGGTGGGGGTCGTCGTAACGCATCTCCATCGTAAGTCGGGGACTACCCGTAATTGCCAGGCTGTCTTTCTGTTTGTAAGATTACAGAGAGAGGCGAATTATACGGGCAACGCCGCTGGCGGTAGCACGCCAGCGCGGATGATAATAATGTATAATCAAACAACCTAACCAAAATGTGTCATTAACGATGCACTATTACGCTCTGTTCTTCACACGGGACATTCCCAGAAATGTCAGCCTACCCTCTCCATTCGTTGTCGTTCACCATTCATCATCAATCCACTGCTGGACGAAGGCTTCCCCAAACCGATGGAATAATAATAATAATCATCATCATAATTCACCTAAGCACCTGCACACGAGCTCATTTCATCGCTCCATCTCCTCGGCGTTTCCACCCCTTGGCGTTTCACTCCGTCGACGAACAGTGAGGCAAGGTGGGGGTGGGTGGGGGTGGTGTGTCTGTAACTTTTGCTGCGGTGCCCAACCCGAGAACTGTTGCTACTGATGCTACTGATGCGTACTGCCATCCACCGAGTCGTAGCACCGCTAAGCCTACATCGTCAAAGGGTGTCCGTCCCGCAAGCATCGCTGCCGTTGTCCATGTGGATCAGCCTTCTCGTGCAAAGAGCACGGGCCGCGGCGATGATTGATTTTCTTGCGCGACCGCACCCACGTTCCCTGTTGCATATATATTAATGTTCCATAGCGCAGACTGTCCTACAGCTGATCAAAGCTGTAGGACGGCTGGAGTATTGGCTGATGTCAGGGCCGTCCATTGTGGGGAGGGTGGGGGGGTGGCGAGAGGGGTTGGGCATAGAGGCAATTCAGAATCAGAAAATATTCAGTCATACAGGAGGAATCCGATGAGCTGTGAAGCGCTTTTTCACAAACGTCCAGTCGGGGCAGGTTCTTAAGAACAACAACAAAAACACGATGGAAGTGCAAAGTATTGGAAATGTAAACAAATCACTTAAAAACATATATATACAAATCAAACTAAACTTTTTTTAAGGCTAACTGTGCTATTAGCTTCTTTTCTCAGAAGCGACCGTGCCAAAAATGATAGCTCAACGAAGTGGTTTATAGTGCGTCAATTTATAGCAACAAAATAATCTCAATAATCTAAACGTTTGTTTCTAAATGTGGAAGGGAAAAAAACCCCGGAGGGCCCAGAGGAAAATAAATCCACGCGACCACGGGGGACAGATTTGTTCCTAAAGTCACACAAAAGAGGACTCCAAGAACTGGGCACGTTGTTGTGTGTGTGTCTGTTGTGTGCCTGTTGTGTGTGTGTCTGTGTGTGCCTGTTGTGTGTGTCTGTGTGTGTGTGTCTGTTGTGTGTGTGTCTGTGTGTGTGTCTGTTGTGTGTGTGTGTCTGTTGTGTGTGTCTTCTTTGGTTCTTTCGGTAAAGTCACGTAGAATGAGAATAAAATAATAAAATAAAATAACACAATAAAATTCTCACGACGTTTCGGCCACAACACAAGTGGCCTTCATCAGGTGAAGGGACGAGACTGTCTGGAGGACAGCGCTGGAGTTGTGTGTGTGTCTGATCAGTCAGTCGACCCGTGACACCTGGGTCTGCCCCGTGACCTCCTGCCAGCGGGCGTTCGACACTTCACGTGGCCTCAAGGTGCACATGGCCTGGCACAAGCGTCGTGGTGATGTCACCGCCACTTAGTGGCGAATGGCGGTTGTTGTTGCGTCTGTGTAGTGGGGAGCGGTAGTGTAGTGGTTCGCGCGCTGCGCTATAAACCCCGGCGTCCCGGGTTCGATTCCCGCTCACGGCCGAGACCAGTGACGATTACTTGAACCGGTTCTGGGCCTCTCCTAGGTCGATTCAGCCTCAAATGAGTACCTGGTGTGCGGTGTGTAAATATCGTCACTCGGGAGACAAAGGCGGTCGGAAGTGGTGCTGGCCACCCACCCCCTCGTGTACCGTTCCGGCCTTCATAGGTGATCGCTTACAGAACTTGCCCCAACAGTCTGTTAAGTCTATACGGGGGTCTTTGTCTGTTGCGTCTGTCTGTGTGTGTGTTGTGTTGTCAATGAATAAGGGGGACACCCTTCACGTGGCTGGCATTATGCCACTGGACCTACAACCCCGGGGCCTCCTGAAACCTCAAGGCGGCCCTGGCTACAAGAAGAAAATGGAGGGTTCGCTTGCGTTGGGCTAAACTGGGATGAGAATAATAATTGTTTCGTTATTTATACAGGAAAGCCACACTGAGTCGTAAGGACTTGTTTTTAGCAGGGTCCTGCTGCTACTTTGGGGATTTTATTGTCAGATGTTTTCAGCCAGTAGACGGATGTGTGTACACGTGGAAGGCTAACCCCGAGCACCCGGAGAAAACCGACGAGTGTGAGGGGGCAACGCTCTATCCCCGCCAATGTGGCAATTGGTCCACTTGCTGTACTGAATTCTACGCTAGCTGTGCTGAATTCTCCGCTTGCTGTACTGAATTCTCCGCTTGCTGTACTGAATTATCCACTTGCTGTACTGAATTCTCCGGTTGTTGTACTGAATTCTCCATTTGTACTGAATTCTCCGCTTGCTTTACTGAATTATCCACTTGCAGCACTGAATTATCCGCTTGTTGTACTGAATTCTCCGCTTGCTGTACTTAATTCTCCGCTTGCTGTACTGCGTTCTCCTGGAGAGCCAGGGAATGGCACCTCAGCAAACTCGTGAAGGGAGTTTCAAAACAAGTGTGCGATCTCGATTTAAAGCTTTCGTGACTGCAAGGATTCATCTTCTTGGTTCTTTCGGTAAAGTCACGTAGAATGAGAATAAAACAATAAAACAAAATAAGACAATAAAATTCTCACGACGTTTCGGCCACAACACAAGTAGCCTTCTTCAGGTGAAGGAACAGAACTGTCGGGACGACAGCGCTTCAATGACTGCTGCTAAGATTCGCAGCGTCTTTAAAGCTAGATGGGAGAAGTAAAGCGCCTTGACAAAGGAGTTTACATATCAAACAGGAGAATTTAGCATTGAAATAGCTGTGATACATGCTCATTTCTGACTTTAACACCCTGCGCATCCAACACTTTATCACAGCTATTTCAATGCTAAATTCTCCTGTTTGATATGTAAACTCCTTTGTCAAGGCGCTTTATTTCTCCGACCTAGCTTAAAAGACGCTGCGAATCTTAGCAGCGTTCACTAAAGCGCTGTCGTCCCGACAGTTCTGTTCCTTCACCTGAAGAAGGCTACTTGTGTTGTGGCCGAAACATCGTGAGCAATTTATTGTCTTATTTTGTTTTATTGTTTTTATTCTCATTCTACGTGACTTTACCGATAGAACCAAGAAGAAGTGTTGTGCGATCCATCGAGCCATTTGTGTGGTAATCCACCAACCCTCGCTTCCTTCACAGCGCTGGATTACAGGCCACGTGGTTAGCCATCGCTGCGGGGTACTCGTTTGACCACCGTGAAGGTCTAGACATGTTACGCACAGTCACATCATTTGAGATTGTGATTTGGTGTAATTGGCTTTGTTTTAAACCGGGTAAGAGCGCCCTTTGAACAGCAGAAGCCTCTTTGTTTTCGCGGGAGACGTCTACGGGATGGATATGGAACCACATCAAGTAACGAAACAACAAACAATTGTACATTTCAAATGGAAGAAATTGAAGGAATGCCAGGTAAACAAAAAAGTTCTGCAAGTACAAATTAGGGGTAATATATGATGACGTGCGATACGTTTTAACATTAGAAAGCGTTTAATGCGGATACGGTACTTTGTGTCCGAGTTGATGTCATCTGTCACGGTCTTCGTCCAGTAATAGATATATCGTGGCTGGTGAGGATGCTTAGGCTGCATCATCCTTCCAACGAATCACATGAGTAAGAATCAATGTTGTCGGCGTGAATATTTCATGAGCAGTGGGACCACGCGAGTAATGTAACCACAGCCACTAAATGCCGCCACACGATTTCGAGTCTTAAATCGAATTGTGACGTTTCATAGAGTCCCAATAATTGGGGCCCATCGTTTTGTCCTAGATTGTAGCTGCCATTGCTGACAGTACGGGAAGTAATTCTTGAGTCTGTATATATATGTAGAGCAGAGAGTTATTCTCTCCTTGTGTGTTGGGGGGGGGGGGGGTTCTGGATGCTCCGGTTTCCTTCCGCATGTCCCCACCACGCGTTAATGGAACTGGCGAAACATTCCAGTTGCAGGACCCTCCTGAAATAAAAAAAACAGAGGCTTGCAACTCAGTGAGGCTTCATGGATTAATTTAAAAAATAGCCATTGTTTTCTTATCATGTATTGTCATTTTCACGACCACCGCGACCACCACCGTTATCATTGTCACCACCACGACGGGAAAAAACAGACAAAGATCGCCTAGTGGGTTAAGTGCAATTCGCGAGCTAATTAAGGTCGGCACGGGGCACGAGGGGGCGGGTGATCAGCACCACGCCCGGCCGCTTTTGTCTCCCCAGTGCTGATGTTTAAACACCGTTACCAGGTTCTCATTTAAAGCTGAGTGGACCTAGCGGAGGCCCAGGACCAGTTCAGGTATTCGGCACCAATGCTGGCTGTGAATAGGATTCTAACTTGGGTCGCCGGGTTCATAGCGCAGTCAAAATACGAAGATCACCACTTCGACACTATCAGCACCACCATCAATGATCGCCACCTCCATGATGTTACAAACGCCGCACTGACCAGCGTGGTGAAGTATGGTCAAAGAGCGCCCGTGACCGAACCGGCGTGGCTTTCATCCAGCAGTGGGTTGGACACGGGGCTCGTTGACTGACTGAC